CAGTTGAAACTCAGTATTTATTGTACGGATAAATGGAAGCAAAGAAGGAAGAAAGGGAAAGAGAGAGGGACAGGGGAAGTGTGGCTAATTTCGAAGCAGGAGAAATTCCAGACGACATGACAATGGCTCACCTCAACTCACCACAAAGCGCCGTCCCATCTGTAGAAATATTTCAGAGGGGGCCTCTGGGTCCAGGATGGCTTGGACACAACATTTCCTCTTATGTCCCGCTCTCTTCCAGAATGGTCTCTTTCTTTTTGGGGAGTTGGCTGGGGAGAGCGGGGTTAGAACCCTTCCTCTTGGCCTCTGCCTTAAGACTTCGCCGGGAAACCAGCTCCTCGCGATGAGGTCATAGCAGAGGGAGGAAGCCTGACCCTGAAGGGGGAAAGGACCCAGAGAAGGAGCCAGAACTCTGGGATGAGAGCGTTAAGCACCTGTCCCGGAGCTCTGGACGGGTTCTCTGCTTCTATTACTTTGTTTCTCTTTTGCTTTTCCTCGCTGTTTTGTGAAGTTCTTTTTAACCTTTCTGGCTGTGCTAAGGAAAACAAGGGAAAGTTGTTTCCCTGTGCGCGTGCACACATGCGCGCACACACGCACATCAATGGATTAAAAAAAGATGGGGCGCCTGGGTGGCGCAGTCGGTTAGGCGTCCGACTTCAGCCAGGTCACGATCTCGCGGTCCGTGAGTTCGAGCCCCGCGTCGGGCTCTGGGCTGACGGCTCGGAGCCTGGAGCCTGTTTCCGATTCTGTGTCTCCCTCTCTCTCTGCCCCTCCCCCGTTCATGCTCTGTCTCTCTCTGTCCCAAAAATAAATAAACGTTGAAAAAAAAAATTAAAAAAAAAATTAAAAAAAAAAAAAAAAAGATGCGAACGCCCTCGGGAAGGAAGGGTGGTGGAAGCAGCAGGAATCCAAACAGAACCCCTCCACCTGCAAGGAAGGCAAACATCAGGAAACAGAGCCATCTGGACCCACGTTGTTCCCTTCCCTGAGAGTTTCCTTCCCGGGCTAAATAAAGCCTGGGACACTCTGGCTCTCTCCTAAATAAGGGTGGCAGTGCGCATTCGAGGAGGCCCAGAAAATAAGGGGGTGCTGGCAAGGAGCAGCAAGGAAACGCAGGGCTAGATCGATAAAAAGCGACCCTCAAAGAGTCCGCGCCGCTCGTAACCCAGCCCGCGAGCACCGACTGCAAAGGCACAGATACAAGCCAGAGGACACGCTCCTTCCGACAGCCGTAGAGCCAGGAGGTGATGGTGAGGATGCGGGCCAGACGGCGTGTGCCTTTTTGGCAAACGTCCCCTGGGAATAACAGGCCCAGGCAGAAGTGGACAGTTCTTTTCTAGGAGATGAGGAGTCAAGCCTCTGCCAGCATTGTCCTGGTCCCCGGGGGGCACCTGTTGCCACAGCAACCGCCGCTTGGGGAGAACACCGCCTTCCAGTTCACTATCCCAGGAAGACATTCAGTCCGGGCTCGCAACTCTGGGTGGGCAGCAAAGGGTCCAGAACACGAGTCACAAACCTCGCCGGGGCTTAGGGGAGGTTGACGAAACAGGTTCTGTGGTCAGCGCCCCGAGGCGGCTGTCAGCACCCGTGTGGCCGCTCCACCCCGGGTGACTTTCTGCTCAGTTCCTGCAGGTCCTGTCCCCCGTGACCCTGGGTCCTCACCCTGGCAATCCGATGCCGATGATGGCAATGACGAGGGTGATGATTAACAAGGACGGCATCGTGGCCAAGATGGGGACAGAACAGAAACGAACACTGACTGCTAAATGCCTCACAAGCCTTCTCTTATCCTGCCCACAAAAGCTCTATGAAGTACGTGCGATTCCTGAGCCCCTTTCCTGATGAGGGAACAGCAGCTCAGAGAGGTTCCGCAACCTGTCTGGAGGCACACAGCCACGAAGAAGGAGCTGATACATGAACTCGGCTCTGCACAACTCCAAAGTCACTTTTTTTTTTTCAGGAGCAGGAAGGCTTAAAAGCTCAGATTCTGGGGGTGCCTGGGTGGCCCAGTCACTTAAGCATCTGCCACTTGATTTCGGCTCAGGTCATGACCTCACGGTTCGGGAGCTCGAGCCCTGTGTCAGCGTGGAACCTGCTTGGGATCCCCTCTCTCCCTCTCAGAATGGATAAACTTAAAAAAAAAAAAAAAAAGAGCTCAGATGCTGCAACAAAACCGGTCACCCCCCTCCCAGCTGTGGGACCTTCCACAAATCACAGAACCTCTCTGTGCCCGAATGTCATCGTCTGTAAAACTGGAATAACAACGGCCCCTCCCTCCTAGGGCTTTCGGTGAGAATGTCAAGGGTGAATATATGGAAGGCGGTACGTTGCAAACCTTAATGAGCTTGTAAAGTACCTGGGGATCTCGTTAAAATGGGCTTTCCTGGGGGGGGGGTCTGGGTGAAGCCTGAGGGTCCGCATTTCTGATGAGCTCCCAAGGGGCGTAGAGGGCAGCCCACCCTCCAGGTGGCAAAACCCTAAAGCGCTCAGAAGGGGTCACGGTAATCAACAACGCGGGCTGCGACTATTTGCATTTTAGACTATTCGCATTTTAGCATCTTGTAGCCACTGCCCTGACTTGTTCTGAGGGTTGTATCCTGGCACCGCCCCAGCCCCTTTATGCAAATGTAAAGACCGAGGAGCCACAAATTTGGCATAAGCTTCAACAACCCCCCCCCCCCCCCCCAACAGCCTTCCTCTTCTCTATCTGCACGAATGCAAGGCTTCACATCTGCCGGAACCTTCCCGAACATGCTTTTGCCCCCAAAAGAGAACAAGGGGACAGGTCTCCTTTTGGTTCCTTCTGACCCAAGTAGGGGGTAGGACGGGGTTCTCATGCCAACTTGAGTGCCCTGTGGGCTGTAACGCACAGATGCCCCTTCCGGTAAGCCGGGGTCACAGCCGGCGGGCAGGCCTTACGGGGGGGGGGGGGCATTGCCCCTGTGGCAGCATTGGCTGGGGGAGACAGAGGTATGAAGGCCGGGCCTGATCACAGACAGCCCTGGAGGGTTCGCTCACTACAGGGTTCCCCGGACAGTCGGTCAAGGCCGCCCTTGAGACCTGAGGATCTCTGCAGGACTCGCCTCTCGCCCCACACCTGCTTCCTCGCCCTCCCCGGGGCACCGCATTGGTTTCCAACGGCTGTTGTCGCCAAAGACCACCAACGTGGTGGTTTCGAACAGCGCACATAGCTCTGGAAGCTTCCCTGGGCGAAAATTAAGATGCCGGCGGGGCTATGGGCCTTCCGAAGGCTCTATGGGAGAATCTATCCTTTTTCTGGCTTCTTGAGACGGGTTTCTTGGTTGGCTCCTGGCTTCTTCCTTCCTCTTCAAAGCCGGCAACTTCGCAAACATCTTCAGACACCCGCCCCCCCGCCCTTGAAGACCTCTGCTTCTACTGTTACACTTCCTTCTTGTCCCTCCTGACTTCTGACCCTCCCTGCTGTGTGAACCCTTGTGATTGTATCGGACGCGTCCAGATAATCCAGGCTAACCTCCCCATCTCAAGATCCCTAGCGTATTCACAGCTGCGAAGCCCCTTTTACCGTGCAAGGGAACACATTCACAGGTTACAGGGATCTTAAGGTAGGCATTTGTGGGGCTAACATTCTCCTGCCCACAGGTACCCCTTAATAAATATGGCGCACATCTGACTCCATTCCAGAAATTCCTCTCCGGGGAGCTCTGCTGGCAACGCTACTATTTCGAAACGCTGCTTTCATAAGGCCTGTGTTGTTTTCGGGTCTGGATTGTTCGCACTCGAAAGGGGTGGGAAAGGGGGACGGCCGTGTAGAGTCCCTGAATATGCAACAATCCAAACGATCCCTTCATACCCAATGACAGCACGTAGAGCATCTGAGTATGTCTGTCTGTGTAGTCAAGAATTAACTTTACCCAGGGGCACCCGGGGGGCTCAGCTGGTTAAGCGTCCGACTCTTGGGTTTCGGCTCAGGTCATGATCTCACAGTTCGTGAGTTTGAGCCCCGCGTCAGGCTCTGCCTGCTTGGGATTTCTCTCTCTCCCTCTCTGCCTCTCTCTTTCGCTCAAAAAATAAATCAATAAACATAAAAAAAAAAAAAAGAATTAACAGGGTGCCTGGGTGGCTCAGTCGGTTGAGCACCCATCTTCCGCTCAGGTCACGATCTCTGGGTTTGCGAGTTCAAGTCCCGCCTCGGGCTCTGTGCTGATGGCTCAGAGCCTGGAGCCTGTTTTGGATTCTGTGTCTCCCTCTCTGTCTCTGCCCCTCCCTCACTTGCACTCTGTCTCTCTCTGTCTCTTTCAAAAATAAATAAACATTAAAAAAAAGAAAAAAAGAATTAACTTTACCCAAAGAGAGATCTGGCCTTTTCTCTAATCCCTATAGGGGAGGTAATCTCTAAAACCTTAGAATGACCTGCATCTTTGTTTACGTGGGGGCCTTGAGCCACACTGTCACTGTATGTGATTCACGGGCAGGGCCTTGGGCCCGGCAGCATGAGGTCAAACTCTAGAGGGGCCCCAGACCGTGGTCAAGCCACGTGGGTGGTCACACATGTCCACGTGCTGAAGCCCTGATGAAAACTCTGGACTTCAGGGTTTGGGTGAGCTTTCCTGGTTGGCAATACTCCAAGCGCATTGTCACACGTTGTCGCTGGGAGAAGGCAGTGCTGCTGTGATTCCACCGGAAGGTGATGACCGGAAGCCCCACGTGTGGAATGCTCCGCCACTCGGGCTGATTTTAATCGTCATCTTTTTCCCATAATAAACTGTAACATTGCATCTAGCGACTGTCAGTGACTCTATGAGTCCTTCTAGCAAATGGTCAAATCTTAGGGTGGACTTGGGGGACCCTGAACTTGCCTTCCATGTCACAAGTAATGGCCGTCTTGGGGACTCATGAACTCAGCGCTGTCTCCTGCCCTGTGTTCAGAAAATTTCCTCCCAGAAACTGCCCCACAGATATCCTACATCTTCTTGATTTTTGCCATTCAGGCTGTCCCGTCGGTTATTCTCCGTACCCACCTTCAGAGCAGGGACAAACATTTTTTCCTCTCTGGTTGCTGCAAAGTGCCCGTTCAGGGCAACGCTGAGCCTCCTTGGGACCTGGGAGGACAGAGAAATGTCTCGATTCAACAGCTTACACGCAGGTATAGTAAATGTCAGAAAGAGCTCAGTCCAACCTGTTTTTTATTGCGCCACTCTCAGAAACCGAACCAGAAATCGAGAGACAAGGACGCCTTCTAGAAAGGTAGTGCGCCCGCAAGCGACAGACGAACACAGCATCGTGCGAAGTGACATACCTCAGTAGGTGCTGGTTACAAACAGAAAGAAGGCCCGTTGTGGCCTTTCCTTGTTGTGCCTGCCGGTAAGCTCGGGAGAACAACCTCGGATCAACGGCGTTTACCTTCCGGGCAGCGAATCTTCGCTTCTCCTTTGTTTTTGGCCCTGCATTTCTATTTCTATCCTTAGTTTATGAAATTTTGTGTGGATTTACATGGACCTCGGCTGTCCAGGAATAGATTAATCATAATTCTGGCTTACGACACACCTTGACCATTGCTCCCCGCAAGTAAGTCCTTGCTTACTTTGTTTGTATATTAACTTATTTATTTTTAACAATGTCGTAAGCACCTATGAACCCATCCCCAAGCCAAAATCTAGATTCTCTTGCGTTTTTCAGCTCCATTTCCAGACATAGAAAATAATTTGTACATTCTTTTTTTGTGAGAGCAAAATTAATAAGCTGTTATTTAGAACGTTCTCCAAACAAAGGCCAACATTAAGAGAAAAATATTACCTGTAATTCATTCCCTCACCCTTACCTACTTCATCAACTGCAGTTAATATTCTAGTCGGGCGAATTCACATTTAAATGTTTTTTTGGGGCGCCTGGGGGGGGCTCAGTCAGTTGAGCATCTGACTCTTGATTTCAGCTCCGGTCATGATCTCAGGGTTCATGGGTTTGAGCCCCACACTGGGCAAAGCGCTGACAGCACGGAGCCTGCTTGGGATTCTCTCTCTCTCCTCCTCTATCTACGCCCTCCCCTGCTGGCTCACGTGCATTCACTCTCTCTCTCAAAGTAAATAAACTTAAAAAAAATACGTATCTTTTCTATACCTCCAGTGATGTATGGAAAATTTCACATCTTGATCTATTTTTTTTTTAATTACCGCTCTCCATTACGTACAAAAACACTTCACTTAAATCTGTCACCTGACATTATATATTAAATAACTTATTGTTTTTTTTTTTTTTTTTCAACGTTTATTTATTTTTGGGACAGAGAGAGACAGAGCATGAACGGGGGAGGGGCAGAGAGAGAGGGAGACACAGAATCAGAAACAGGCTCCAGGCTCTGAGCCATCAGCCCAGAGCCTGACGCGGGGCTCGAACTCACAGACGGTGAGATCGTGACCTGGCTGAAGTCGGATGCTTAACCGACTGCGCCACCCAGGCGCCCCACTTATTGTTATTTTTGACACTGAACATCGTCGGACTTATTTGGATGGTACCATGAATAACTTAGTAACCGACTTATTGTTAGACATTTAGGCTGTGGGGTTCTTTTGGGGGGTGAGGGGTAATGATACATCACACTACCAAACAATATTTTAGATATAGGTATTAATTCACTTTTTTGTTTAGTGTTCTGTATAGAGTTCTAATTAAAGATTGGGTGTCTGGATCAAAGACTATTCACATTTTTAATTTGTGGAAGCATATTGTTTAGTTGTTTCCTAGAGAGATAATACCATCACTATTGACCCTGGTAAGAAGAGTCCCTGTCCTGGTCCCACACTTTCCTGGGCCCTTCTTTGACCTTCCTCGGGTCATGGTATTTCCCATTGACTAAGGGTTCCATGGGCCAAGGAGATAATGCATTGGGAATCATGACCCTTGACTCCTAGACTCTTCCTAGGAGTCCTAGAAATGCCTGTCTCAGTTTCTCACGCCTGCTTCCAGGGCTCCGGCGTCTCTTCCCTGGGGCCATTTTCTCAAGAGCAGACCTCAACTGCCATGTCCATACCCCTAGCCCTGCTGTCTGTGGGGTGGGTAGGCACCTGGAAAGATCTTGAAGGTGCTTTTAGGGTGTCCACATACACACGCACAAAACCCCTCACAATGCAGATGGAGCTGGGGTGGGAAAAATATGGAGGACAGGCCAAGGGCTGGGGGCCTAGGGCTCACTCTCCCCATCCAAAGTTCTTGAAAGAAGTCTTGGGAATCCAGGAGTTAAAGTTCATCCAACTCATTGGGAAGGCGTTATTTGTCAAGGTGGGAAGACTGAAAATATTTAACAGTTCATTAGCTTTGTTTGTGACTTTGACCTGTGTAGACACATGACATGTGGGCCTCCAGCTGGACCCTTGTTCTGGGCCCTGAGCTTGTTGGTGGAGGGCCTGATACCCATATCTACTCTTATCGGCCCATCTGAATGTGCCCGTTCACCAACATTCTGAACTACGATGATCCCGCTGTTAAATAGGTGAAAAATAGTATCTCATGCTTGTTTTCGTCTGTATTTTAAACATGTTTGGTCGTTCATATCGTTGACATTTGCTTTTTTTTTTAATTAAAGTACAGTTGAGTTGATATGTTATATTAGTTTCAGGTATACAACATAATACGATGAATAGACCATAATTCAACAGGTCTATACTCGACTCAGCGCTCCTCATTCTTAATCCCCTTCCCCTCCCCCACCCCCGTCGGGGGAACTGGGAGTTTGTTCTTTGTATTTGAGTCTGGCGTTTTGGTCGGTTTCTTCTTTATTCTGTTCATTTGTTTTGTTTCTGAGACATTCGTATTTTCATGTTGTTAAGGATTTATGTCTTTGTTTATCTACTGGGGCCTCAGCGTTCTTCTTATAGGTTTGTAACTGCGGTCTCTGCATTAAGGATGGTGACTTCCGTAGTCTGTGTAATAGCTAACCTAGCGCTAGGTGAGTATCTGGCTAAGTCCTACCCCCAGGTATCTAGGAGGATACAAGAGAGGGCCACTAAGTGCGGGGCAAATAGAATCTGAGAGAATTCTGGGGGGGGTGGGGTGCCCATTTGATTACAGTCATTAAGTGGGGGATCATTAACACATCAAGGAAATTGGAACCAACCCAACCAGGAGAATGAGAGCAAAGGGGGAAAGGCCACGGTACAGCATCCTGAGAAAATCCTGAGAGTGTGGGTCCCCGCCCGTGCTTGGGTTTGCCATTCACACGTTCCGAAACTGGTGATTCACATCAGGGTCCTGCTCCCGGGCACGGACCCGCAGTCAATACATCCGTGAAGAACCGAATTCTCAAACTAAGCTGGCATCCAGCTAACTCGATATCCCAGAGCGCAGCCAACTCCTCCCCCCAGAGTCGTACCCAACCAACGAGGAGTCCATCTTGTTCAACTACAAAGGCACCCGTCACCACCTCAGGGGCCTTCATCCTATTTTCTTCTGCAAACACCTAAGCAGATTTTCCTCATTTCTTCCGGATAGTTGGCCAGCAAATGCTTTAATTGCAAGTTGAAAGGAATAAAATAAAATCATCTGGTGGGATGGGTTTTAATTAGAATTTAGTGAGTCGGGCCAGCAATTAGCGCATCTATGAATGGAGACTCTACACACATATTTGTCTCCGTTGAACTTCACTGATTTAAGTGAACACTTGACTCCGATTCCTCCAGTTAAACAAAGGCCATTGTAATGGTACCGCCAGTAATAACGTTGCCCGAGCCAACGGAAAATGGTACAAGCCGTCTCTTGACTCTAGGTCTTCCCTGGTCCCAACACGGGATTTCCACCAACCTTAGTTTTAAACACAGCCGTGGAATTCGTAATATTCTTAAGATTATTGATTCATTTTAAATTAGGCCTAGGGGAGAAGAGGGACCTGTGAAGGAAGAGAAAGGGACAGCTTCGTGTTTGAGTACCTGCTATACAGCAAGTATGAACAAGGAAGGTGTGTCCATTTCCTTCCGTTCCTCTGCGCACCAGCCTGCGCAGAGGGCATGATTATAGACGCAATTACAAAAAACGAAGCAAAACAAAACAACGCTGCAGACCAGAGATGCAGTCGTCCCCCAGTCTGGACAGCCGTAAGGGCAGAACGTTGGATAGTCCAAACCCAAAGTTCTGGCCCCTGCCGAAGGATTTGGAATCCCTTAAATACACATATTTAAGGTGTGATCTCACGCTCCAAGGCGAAGGTGAGGGCTACAGTTTCTCAGAGCCAAGCGGGTCCTTCCCAGAGGCCAAGCAAGTGCCCCGTGCCGCTGGTTCGCAATCTCGACTCCACATTGGAATCACTGGGGGGCTTCAAAAAAAAAAAAAAAAACCCAAATACCGGGCACCCACCCCAGAAGTTCTGATCTCACTGGGGTGGGGGCACAGACTGACTGGGGCATTTTATGACATTCCACGGGTGTTGCTGCTGTCCGGTCAAGGTTGGGCACCACTGACCTCCGAAAGCTGTGGAAGCCCCATTGAAGAGTGAAACTATGGCTACCCTGAGCTTTGCAAGCCTGTGCCCGCGATGCTCCTGTGAGGTCTATTTCGGTCCCTGTAGGACATCTGGCAGAGAGCAGCCAAGCATTGGAGTGAAAGAGCCCAGGTGGGGATCCAGGCTCAGTCTCGTACCGGCATTGTGATCTTGACCAGGCAGGCTAATCTGACTCTTAGTTATCTAGAAAATGAAGATGAGAACTATCTGGTCAGGCTGGCGTACAGATTTAAAAACTGCCTTCCTGGGCACCTGGGGGGCTCAGTGAGTTAGGCGTCTTCCTCTTGATTTCGGCTCAGGTCATGATCTCACCGTTCAGGGGTTTGAGCCCCGTGTCGGGCTCCGGCAGCCTGGAGGCTGCTTGGGATTCTTTCTGTCCCTCCGCCTCTCCCCCACTCGCCCTGTCTCTATCTCAAAATTAATAAATAAACTCAAAAAAAAAAAAAGTGTTCCATTCAAGGCTTGAATCTGCCAACAGGCCTTGTGATTCTCCAAAACAGATTCTCCAAAATCTCCTTGTGATTACCAAACGGCATTTGATAGCACACGACGTGCCGTAAACCTACTGGCTTTGGTTTTCTGGATGCTATCTTAACAGGGACACAAGGGACCAAGATGTTAATGAGTGGCACTGATATTTACTGCATTTTAAGAGATACAGACCATGAACTCCTGTCCTGCAGTGGCTCTGGCACAGGAAAATTCAGGGATGGTGGTATTCATTATATCACACACCGAGTTTGTGCTATATTCTCGGTACGGCAGGTGGAGAGACTCACACAGCCACAGGCTCTGCCTTCAAGCTATTGGTAAATATCATTTGCTAGTCACCGAGCCACCCAGGTGCCCCAGTGGGACGCTTTTTGGTATCGAACGGAACTAACATTCTATGGGACCCTTGTCTGGGAAACCTCATGCTGGTTGGAACGGCGTCGTAAAAAGACATTCACAGGAAAGAGGCCAGCAAAGTGACCAGCCACGTAGGCAAGACCCTGCAAGGCAACCAGCTTTCAGGTTGGGACGCTTGGTTTTGCCGATCTACCCACAGGTTGGCTTTTTTCCAGGCAACAGAGTCATGGATACTAAAAGCAAAACCATAGGAAGCCATGAAAACCCTTGATTTTGGCTCCCCGAATCAAGCTGTCCCAGCTTTGGAAACCTCATCCGTAGAATGAAGGATGATCCCGCTGATGCCGTGAGTCAGGTATTATTTTCAGCACCGTGGGGGCCACTGGTGTCCATTGGTGCTTTTGACCGAGAATGTCCCATGCTCTGCCTTCTGGGCACAAGGTGGGATCGTGCGTCGGGCGCTCCTGGGGCAGGATGGGGCCGTGCGACGACCATGGAAGGAGCTGCCAACGAAACTGAGCGTCCCTCGCTTTCAGACAAGAGCCCTCTTGCTGGGGTGGGCTCTCCAGAGCTTCCTTTCTATCTAGAACGGCCACCAGGGACGGGCAAGATCGCGACTGTTCCGCCAGCATGGGTCCCACAAGAAGCAGAGCCCCACCTGCGGATGCAGTGAGCGGGTAATCTGAGCAGGAAATGCACTTGCCGTGAGGTCTGGAAATGACCGCAGGGCCGGCATAGCTCCTTCTGTGTGATTCCAGAGCCAAACAAGGTGACACACGACAAACTCTGTTACAGTTCTTGGCTCTGAATAGGCAGTCTTCATTATTATTATTATTATTATTATTATTATTATTATTATTTTAATGGAGAGGAGGGACACTTCTTTCTAGATCACTCACAGCACACACTGGAACACAGGTCACTCTGTCCTGGTGACTAGGCAGGTACACTCAGGAAAACAAAGTGTGTGCAGAGCATGATATCCAAACTAGCGGGAGAATGTCTGTTTGGGGGTTTGCTTGTTTGGGTCCCTTCCTTCCCCCTTCCTTCCTTCCTTTCTTCTTGTTTTCTTCCAAGGTACACTTCTCCTAGAAAATGGTGGGTGAACTGAATTGAATGCCACACCCGGGGCATCAGCCAAGCCTTCTCGGAACAAAGTGAAAAAGGAACACCAAAGGCCCCAAGTTGCAGAGAGCCTCCCCCAACGTCAAGCCACCCCCTCCTCCTCTCTTCCCCCTTCAGCGGTTCTAGGCTTAGCGCTCCATCCCATTTTACATAATTAGCCGCATTTTTACCTCTGACTGGGGATGACAGCCGGGCCCTCGTTTGCAGGCGCTTACAAACCCAAGCTGGAAACGGTTCTCATTAGCATGCACTCAGGAGTTTCAGACAAAGGTGGGCTCAACGGAGGCTGTTCAGCGGCGCTGTTGGCTCATTTGTGCAGACACTTGACCTGCGTGCTTTCCCCGCTGGGACTGAAAGCAAACCTTTGTCGTCTTAACATAAAGCACCGGCCGCTTGCCCTGGGGGCGGGGCTCGCTAGACTCGGTGCCCAGCCCCTCCCCGCCCCCTGGCCTTCCTCTCCCTGCCGCTGGGGCTGCGGACAGGCGGACAGACGGAGAGGCGGACAGACGGACGTCCACCGGTCCCTCCAGCCCGCCTGCAGGCATGCTGGTGCTGCAGTCGGGAGCCTGCCCTCCAGCCCCCCACACACGGGGCGTTTGTAGAGAGCTCCAGCCTCATTTCTCTAGAAACAGAGTCTACCCTCGCACTGTGCTACCAGCCGGACTCCCTGAGCGTGCCCTTGCTGGGCTCTGGTCAGCAGCCCCTCCCAGGGACCGGAAGTCCCCAGTGACACGTGGCAGCCGAGGGTGCCGATTGCTGTGGATTACTCCCCCCTCCCCACCCCAGCCCCCTGCAGGACGCCCGCAGAATGCCCCACTGCCCAGGCCGTGTCCCTCCCTCCCTCCCTCCCTCCACCCCCATTATGTGAGGTCTGCCGCCTTCTCCTGCCTCCTGTTGGATTCCAGAAGCTGCGGCCGGCCGCTACACCTGTTACTTTTCCTAGCTGGGTCAGGCGAGTGGGTCGCGGCCTGTTGCAGAGCCTGGCTCTTCCCAGGCTGCGCCCCACCCCTCGGCTGCATTCACCTAAGCTAAGCGTGGGCAAGCTGGGCACACTGAGCGGAAATACACGGATAGGGCTGAAGTCATAAAGATGATCCCCAAAGAGCCACCTTTTGGTAAACAGTATCTCCTGGGATGAAGCCATCCAAATTTGTGGTGCGCTTAGAGGACAAACGTCTCTCTCTCTCGTGCGGAACGGGGGTAAGATCCGAGGGGTCGTGGCAAGGGTCAGAGGAAAGGTGTGTGGAACACCAGCCCGGCACCTGGTATGCAAATTCCATCCGGTGTGATCGCATTCTCGCCGCCCCACCATCAGGGCACACACCTTGGCCCCCGTATTTCCGTCACAGCCTTGGAGCCTTCGTGGCTCTGGACCGGGGTCCCTTCTCGGGCTGTCCCGTGGTTCAGGGAGCCCACAAGTGGCGCGGGAGGTAGCACCTGGAGAGCTATGTCCCCGGAGAGCAGTGTCTCCTCTAGGTCTGGCCCAGAAGCTTTACCTCTTCCGAACACTCTTTAAGCCTCCTCGCGTTGCCGGGGCTCCGAGCGAACCCATCTCCGACAGGAGGAAGGCTCCTCAAGGCAGGTGATCCTGGAGACCGGAAGGGAGCTTTGACCCCGTGTGCTCTCCCCGCCGGGGACTGAAAGCAAACCTTTGCCGGGGTCAAAGCCCCCGGCAGCCAGGTGTACCCTCTGGGCCTTCAAGCGCGACTCCATCCGGGCCGCAAAGTGCAGAAGCCCGCGCGGGGCTTCTAGACCCTTCTGCCTATTCTGCCGCAATCATTGTCTGAGTTAGCTAATGGCAGGGTACGGGGACCTCCTACTGAGATTCCATTACCTTGTAATTTTCAGCTTGTTCACTGTTGCAATAAAGCCCCTCTGTCTTATAATTCCCCAGCACTCACGTCTCATCTTCTCAAGAACTGAAGTATAGAAGATGCTTTCTGCTGGGGATTCATTGAGATAAGTTATTGAAGTCAAGCAGAGAGGCAGGCTTCCAGCACTCGGCCGGCCGTTCATCTCAAAATTTATGGTCGCGCTTCCTTTTCAAGGTCTAGGGTAATCACAAACAATGTGCTCCCTGCAGGTTTAAAAATTCATACGTTTCCTGTGCAACGAAGGCGGAGGGGCGAGGAACTCCCATCCCCCTGACACCCGCACCCACACTCGGGGGGCTCATGAAGAAAGGAAGCTCGGAAGAGCTGACTCAGTTTTTGATGTGATTTCTACGGGCCTGGGATGCTAGAGTCACTCAAAGCCATTCGGCAGGGAGGAACCGTATCTGCACGTACTCAGTGGCCTGATGCGGAGCGTGGCCATGTGTTTGATCTAGCGGATGGTCTTTCTGGAAAGTGGCCGCGGCCCCCTCCCCTTCCTCCCAAATCTTGCTCCTTGGTCTCGGAGGTACGGCCCTCCTCTCCCCTCCGTGCAGCCTTAGCCGGCTGGCCTCGTGGGTCGCCCCGCCCACAGGTCCCCTCTCCTTTCCACCCAGCTCGCCGCCACCTTTCTGATCCTCCTAGAACAGTGTTCTCCTGAGAGCTGGCCCCGTGAGGCCCTTCCAGGGGCCAAGGAGAGGAGCAAACTGAAAAGCCTTCAGGGTGGGATTTGAGGCCCAACTGTTTGCCTCCCCTTGAAATCCAGCAGCACAGGGAGTGGGAGCCGCCCGTGAGGGATCCCGGGGAGGCGTCCAGAAGGGATCGGAGTGACTCACGGGAGCCTGGAGTTGCTCCTTCTCCATCCCAGCCCTCCTCGGCTTCCCAGAGAGAGACAGAGACGGAGCATGAGCGGGGGAGGGGCAGAGAGAGAGAGGGAGACACAGAATCCGAAGCACGGTCTGGGTTCCGAGCTGTCAGCACGGAGCCCGACATGGGGCTTGAACTCACGAGCGATGAGATCATGACTCGGTCCGAAGTCGGATGCTTAACTGACGGAGCCACCCCGGGGCCCCCAGCGTCCGACTCTTGATTTCAACTCAGGTCATGTTCTCACGGTTCCAGGGTCAAGCCCCACATCAGGCTCTCGACTGACGGCTCAGAGCCTGCTTAGGATTCTTTCTCTCTGCCCCTCCCCTGTTTGCTCACGCCCTCTCTCTCTCTCAAAATAAATAAATTAATAAACATTAAAAAAATATTTCAGATCAAAGCACAGATTACTCTAACACAGAATATATGAGGCTCCTTTCTGTTGACAGGTGGGATAAACGTCCCTCCGCTTTGAATCTACGAGGACTAATGATTGCTTTGACTCATAACGTACGACAAAGGTGACCTGACGTGTCTTCTGATGCTGTTGACTTCCTCTTAGGACTCTGACTCCATGTAAGAAGCCTGACCGCCACGAGGCCACCACGTTGTAAGGGAACCCAAGTCACATACAGAGGCCACCCGTAGGCCGTATGCTCTGGTTGATGGTCTCCACTGGGCCCAGCTTCCGAGTCGTCCTACCCCAGGCACGAGCCTGATGAGTACAGAAGCTTCTAGATGACTCCGGTCCCCGACCTCTGCAGTCCCCCTCAGCCACTGACAACTTCTCAGCTGCGGTGCTAGACCTCATGAAGTGGAGAAACAAGCCGTCCTCACCGTATCTGTCCAAATTCCCGCCCCACGGAATCTGTTAGCACAGTGAAAGGCTGTGATTTTGCGTCACTGCATTTGGGGTGGTCGCCTTCACAGCCGTGGTGCGTGGCATGGAGGGAGGGGGGTCCTCTACCCGTGTTCTGGGTGCCGTGGGCTCCGTTCAGCCCCTGAGTGTGAGATATCCAAATCCTCCAGAAATTCTAGCTTCAGCCTAGTTCTAGTCACCGACCAGGCACCCGGCAGCCAGTAAACAGGCGGTCTGGTGTGGGAGGAAAGACGAGGCTGAGACAAAGACTGTGTATGACCTCCCGTCTGGGGAAGAGTCCTTCTCCCTGCTCTAACTCTCTGGAAAATGACTCAGCTGTTGAGAATGACAGACAGGAAAGCCCTTCCAGAAACTACAGCCACAGGGAGGCCGGGGCCCCTTCTGCTTTCGGGGCGTGCCGGAAGCAGGGGTCTCTTATTTGGGAGGGGGCCGGGGAGGCTGCCCCCTCCCCGTGCATCACGCTCTCAGGACAGCCGAGGGGCTCTGGGCATACCTGCCGTCCTCAGAAGGGCACCTCGGCAGCACCCTCTGGCTGATCCCACGGCTTTGCCAGCTGGCTGCGGAGGAGAGACTGGAAAAGCCTTGTTAAACCACACAAAGCCGGCCTAAGGAGCGACAGAGTGGGTTACGGCTGCCTCTCCAGGCGGCTGTGCCTGATTGCCCGTGATCCCCACTCCGCCTGCTGCCACGGCCTGCTGGGCTGGAGACGTTCTTCTCCAGCCTGCAGATTCCTCGGAAATTGCAAACATGCCTGTCTCTGGCCAGCCTGCCTGCGAAGGCCACTGCGGCGGCTGGGCAGGCTCCAACCGCTGGTTCACTCGCTCGCACGCGTGCAAACCTCAAACACTCGGGGTCGCGGCGGTCACCAGCTGCTACTTACGCGTGGCCGGACCCAGGCCGGGCCCGGTGCCGGGGCCGACTAGGCTTTGTTCCCCGCACAGCGGCCCGTCTCAGGCCTCCCCAGAGATTCTAATTTTGCTGACGGGCTGTGAAACCTTCTAAAAGCTCCCCGGTGGAGGGGATGTGCAGCTGGCTTGCGAACTGAGGCCAGGAGAAGTGGGGCTGATATTTATTGAGCATCTATTGTATGCCAGGCCCGACCCACGATACGCTTTCTCGTGTCATCTATAAAAAAAAGCTCTTCGGGAAGCATTTCCTTTTGGAAGGAGTGAGGGCGGGCGCGTGTAAGGAAATTCAAAGCGATTTGCTCAGGGGCGCCTGGGTGGCTCTGTCGGTCAAGGGTCGGACTTCGGCTCAGGTTATCATCTCACAGTTTGTGGGTTCGAGCCCCGTATGGGGCTCTGTGCTCACAGCTCAGAGCCTGAAGCCTGCTTCGGATTCTGTGTCTCCTTCTCTCTCTGCCCTTCCTTGGCTTGTGCTCTCTCTCTCTCTCTCTCTCAAAAATAAAAAATAAACGTCAAAATTTTTTTTTAAAAAAAGCAATTTGTTCCTACCACTCCATATCCACTTAGAATGGCAGAAACGGGGGCGCCTGGGTGGCTCCGTCGGTTGAGCGTCCGACTTCCGCTCAGGTCATGATCTCACAGTCCGTGGGTTCGAGCCCCGTGTCGGGCTCTATGTCGACAGCTCAGAGCTTGGAGCCTGGTTCGGATCCTGCGTCTCCCTCTCTCTCTCTGCACCCCCTTCCCCCCCCCCCCCCCCGCCCATGCTCTGTCTCTCTGAGTCTCTCAAAAATAAATTATTGCAAAGAAAACTAAAAACAAATAAATAAAAATAATAAAA